TTATCTTAAGCGCTGGGCACGCGGTTGTCTAACGTGTCAGCAGGCCAAGATACAGCGGCACGTGTCCGCTCCACTTGGTCGTTTTCCGCAAGTCTCAGCTCGCGTCGCCCATGTCCATCTCGACATAGTTGGACCTTTGGCACCATCCAGAGGAATGGTCTACATTCTGACCTTGTCAAGGGAATCCAATTGTCAACTGTTTATCATTGCTAATGAAAAAATGCGATAGGATGACTGAAATAATCGCGCAATTTGTAAATACTAAGGTCGCTCCCTCGGAGGTAAATATGGCCACGATAATACCTTACCCGGTCAAAGTTAGTTCTGCGTCTAAACCGAAGAAAAGAGCTAGACGATCCAACCGCACTGCAGCGTCTGTGACTCTAAACCCACTGGGTCACCTCACTCCCATCAGTGGGCAAGCCTCAAACATGCCTGCGTCCACTTCTCCAACCATAAACGCTTCACTTGGAGATTCAGCCATGACACCGATAGCTCACAGCCGAAGGAAATCCGGTGCAGATAACAAGCAGGTAACGTACGCATCGATTGCATCGACAAACACACCGGGAGCGACACACACAAGTTCGTCTTCAATACCGAGCACGCTTGGCCCAAAGCAGCTTTCACTGTCAACTCCAGTGGTGCCCTCTAAACAACCTGAATTGCCGGCAAAAAGTATAAAGCCAACACTTGCTAGACAAAACCACGCTGCGCTAACTATCGGGTGCACCAATGTTCCCGAATCCAAATCTGGCACAATAAAAGGCAAGTTGCAAGACGATCGCAACCAGTGGAGTTCCATCTGCGAGGCGATTGGCATTCGGGTTGAGCCTGCAATGCTGCAACGCGTAGCACGTCACCCGACCTCAGTGCACTCTGGTGAACCTCGAATTCTTCGAGTAACTCTAAACTCAGCAGATGAGACAGAGGCTGTCCTGCTCTCAGCAGTTCGTCTTCGCAACTCACCGAGCGGAGTGCGCATATTACCTGATCTACCTTGGAAAGACCGCGCGAAAGGCGCAGTGGAGCAACGCGGTATTGCTACTAGGGATAGCAAGAAAACAATATTTGTTCATGGTGTTCCCGAGCTCCTGCATGCCTTTGATCACGATGCACAAACACATGACCGAGAACAGGGGTGCTACATCCGCGAAGCACTCTGTGTTAACAATGTTATTGCCAAATCCCTAACAAGAGTTCCGTTGTCACCTAACTACAAGGGCTGCGGTCCAAGGCTAATAAAGGTAATACTACACTCTGAGGGAATGACGCAGGTTCTGTTGGATAGCTGGTTAAAGTTTCGAGCTAGGTTGCCAACAGAAATACGGCTAAAGGCAGCAGGCGAACGACCAAAAGTCGGAAGAAATTCGTCAGGATCTACAGTGCCCTACCGGATAACTTTCCGACCACAAGTGGCGTTCCTCACGGTTGTCCGATTTCACCATTTTTGTTCAATTACGTCGTGGACTCTATTATTGGGTGTACCCTTACGGAATCTCACGATGTAGACGTTGAAGTGCTGCCTGGTGAAAGGTTAGTTGATCTTGATTATGCGGACGATATCGTCTCGCTTTTCGACATGTGGCGGAGGCACAGTCAACCTTGAATAGCCTGTCTAGTGTGGTCCCATTATTTGGTATGCCCTTTGCATCTTCAAAGTGCAAAGTGTTGCTGCAGGACCACCAGCCACTTTATGACCCCTTGACCCTTGCTAAGGAGGAACTCGAGGTGGTTGATCAATTCACTTATCTTGGCAGCTGCATGAGCAACGATGGTCACAAAGAAACTGACGTCAGTTCACGCATTGCAAATGCTAGAGCTGTCGTCGTAAATCTGCGGCATCTTTGGCGACAGAAGGGAGTTTACCTCCGTCTCAACGGCCGTGTATACAAGGCCACAATGAGGGCCGTTCTGCTCTATGAAAGTGAGACCTAGCCCCTTCGGTCTGAAGATCTGAGGCGCCTTCAACTCTTTGGTCATCGTTGTCTGCAAAGCATTACTGGTGTCGGATGGCACCAGCGTGTCCGCAACGATGATGTGCCTAGGCGAGTACCACGCTGTGATAATAATGCTACCTCACTAGAACAACAGATAGCACTGAATAAGTTGCGTTGGTTTGGGCACGTGCTACGTATGCCTGGTCACCGTTTACCTAGGAGAGCCTTGTTTAGTCTACCAGGTGTACGGTGGCGCAAGGCTCGAAGTGGACAGATGTTTACTTGGCAAAGAGAAATGAAGTTACTGACGACCAACCTGGGTGTAGTTGGTCCGTCTCGTCTTCCGGGCTAGAGTCCACGTGACTCACCTTGTGCTTGGCTAGGGACTTTACAGGATATGGCTCGCAACGGACACCAGTGGCTCGTCCGCTGCCATCTCCTAATCGGATTGCCTGTTTAAAGTGTGCTCGATGCTGAGTTATCTGCGGGGTAATGGCTGATTATGACGCGTCGCAGTGAAAGCCGCAAGGAAGCTGTCTCGCTGAGGCCCCCTTTCTTTGCACGATAGACAGCTGTTTGCGACGGTGTGTTGTCTACACAAGGTGTAGGCGCCTTGGCCCTGAATGTTTGCTTAGGGCATTGAGGTTTTCAGGTAAGTCCCCCTTCTCTCCCTCTCAATATACTTTAATACATAGGTCATCTTGGTTGTATGGCAGCGAAGCATCAGTTCAAACGGCTGATGTACTGCTGTTGTTGATTGATTGTTGACCGCATACCACTGTGCAGACATTCACTAAAACTTAAAAACTTACGCGGGTAACCAACCTTACCCAACACCAGCCACAATGCCTCGCGGTTCACTATATCAAATGCCTTGGTGAAATCAACAAAAAGCGGGTACCATGGCTGGTGTCGTTCTCTACACTTTTCCTGCAACCGACGAGCTGCAAACACCATATCTATAGTGCTGTGACCCGAACGGAATCCACACTCGTCTTCCGCAATTTCGCTTACACAACCTAACTGATGAGACGGCTGCGCAGGATTCGGGCAATCACCTTGCCCACACAACTCAGTAAGTTGATGCGACGATAATTCGTACAACAGTGGTAGCGCAAGGGCTTCCTTCAGTGCAGGAGACACATCCTCCTCAATCCATACGCGTTGCACCAAGTGGTGCAGCGCAGTCACCAACGCGGGTCCGCCGTGTTTCAATACTTCAGGCGGGATCCCGTCGGTCCTGGCACACTTTCCATTTCGCAAATGAGCAAGTGCTGTCTGTGTCTCATCCAGTGTCGGCGTGTCCGCCTGACTCGCCTTCACATCATGCCGCTTGACACCGTTTAAATTAGGCCAGTCGATCTCTGAACGGTTGTTCAAAAGACACTCAAAGCGCGTTCGCCAGATCAGCATTATGTCTGCAGTCTGTGTTCAGGTAGCGCCTGAACTACCATCGATCAGCGTCCTCAGCGGCTCCAACCTCGGTCCATACACCGCCATAAATGAGCCTAAGAATTCTTTGTGTTGGCGATGTTCGGCGTAGCATTCCATCTGCTTCGCCTTCTCCGTCCACCATGCATTTTTAATGCGACGGAGCTCTCGGGTCAGTCGCCGTCGAAGTTTGCGAAACTGACTCTTCTTCCCCAAGTCACTGTGGTCTGCGACATGTGCAGCAAATACTGCATTCTTCCTCGACACCAATGCGCCGATCATCGCATTGTTCTCATCAAACCAATTAGGCAGCTTACAGCTTGCGCGCCCGGTGATCTCTTCGGCAGCAGCTGTCACCTGGTCCTGAATGTGGTGCCACAGGTCGCCCACTGTGGCTATGCATTCAACATCACACAGGCATGCAGCCATCGCCTTCTCCAGCTCAATACGTTTCGTCACAGTACCGATGGCGAGAATGCTAAATTAACGCCGATTCACCGCTGGAGTACAATACATAGATGTAGCAAAATATATGTACAGTTTGGTCCGCACCAATTTGTGATCAGTGCCACACTCAGCTCCAGACAGTACACGTGTCATGCGCACTTCACGCATATTACGCTGACGTATGATGATATAGTCGAGCAGGTGAGAGTGATCACCCGTGGGTGCATCCAAGTCGCTATATCACTCGCACTCAGCGCAAACCCAGTGTTCGTTAGTGTGGAATTGCGCTGGAAGTGCAAATCTTGTGGTTCGTATATGTTGGCATCACTAAGTGTATTTAAGTTTCATTGGTATCCAGTTCCATCAGTTAGTTGATTTGTCACATGGAGAAGAGCTTTTCCACGCCTTCTAAGCGCGTTTCCTTCTGTAAATACATAGTACAAACATTCATGTGTTCTGTTTTCTAATACTGGAGTTACCAGAGAACATTGCACGTGCCGCTGGTGAGCGGTAGTTCCACCGACGTCCACTAGCCCACTGTTTTCAAATGTTACAAAAGCATTTCTATAATGATTGCATTTCGATATTTTTCCTTGTTTAGCTCCCTCTATTTTCAACCTTCATTTAGGCTACTAAGAACCGAAAGGCGGATAACGAATGTCGTGTCTGCTTTGTTTTCTTTCCCAGAATCTTCAATCTGGCTTGTAAGTATTGAGAATAATGATTATGCGACTCACATGAAGCATTTTGTCAGTTAGCTGGCTCTGGCTAGTCATATTTTCCAGTCATCCGGCTCACTGTTCATAATGTGAGCACGGGCATCCCATTTGTAAGTTTTTAAGCACGGAGTGAATTCCCTTGTATCGTATACTAAGCAGTTAGTGCAAGCATGGCATTGTTTGGAGATGAACGGTGGAAGCTCCCTTGCCAAGAAGGTAGTTAGCCAACCTCATTACCATTTTAATTAAACAACTTGGTTGTATAAACATTTAGTCTTTACAATCATAGCTTGAGAACGTTTTTGACAATTATTAACCCCGAACTGCGAATTCAAAATGCTAAGCTTCAATCCTCTTCGTCTTCTGATTCTTCGCACGCCAAATCTCTTGCCATCTTATCATCTTGTTGTCGTTGTTGATCGACTTCTCTCGCTTTTTCTATGCAGTCACTCAGATCTGGGCGAGAGAAGAAGTCTGAGAGTCAAGCTCAAAATGCTAACTAAACACAGAAACCTGTGAAGTGCTTCCTTGGATCTTCGGGTTTAGTTAACAACAAGTCCCTGAATTTTGTACTGTTAAGTATGCAAATGAATTTACCTAAGAAAAGCTGAAATGATGTATCGGATTTCAGGATGTCGTCTCATGTACTTTTCGTTGTTCAACCTCGTTTCAGTCTGTTTTGTAGATCAAATGCATCTGTCTAAATGAGTCGTCTACCTTTAGTCGATTTGTTTCAGCCTGCTGTCTGTTGTTCAACGCCCCCAAATCGCCCGGGCCTCCAAGATCATATGGCTCCATGGAAATGGGTGGATCATGTTTTGGAGGTGCTGATCCAGTGTCAGTGACGGCCGATGGCTCTAGAAAAGCAAATGCTAACGTTTAGCATACAATTTGTGGTCATCATCATCATCATTACACATAAGCAGTAGCTGAGAATCACACTTCAACTGTTGTGTCGCGATACATAAATGTACGCAGAAATGCATAATACTGAAAATTATAGAATGCATCAGGTGGTAACACGCTACTTAGTAGCGTAACATGCATCAAACGGGAGCTCGTATTTGTAGGGGGATGGTAAGCCGGATAAGGAGGGACAAAGGAACTAACAATGCAAAGGCCACTGACGTCGGTTCCTTGCAATGTCAACCAGTGCATCTAACCCAACTCGTTCGTTGTCCATAGGACCCCAGCCAGGCAGTCGGGAGAAACCAACCAACGCCACCTTTTAATTAATGGATTTCATCCATCTTGACCAAGTCATAACTTGGCCACCCATCCTCTTCTTCCATCCATACCCCGGCACGCAAACAACACACTTCGCGGGTGTCGGCGTGCTGCCATGCGCAACACCTAACCCATCCATAGGAGTTTGGTGCGTTAAATAACGGTGCTAAGTGCTTCACACGCTCTTCCTACACCGAATACACGATGTCGAACACGCTCGTTGCTCACGCGGTGCTCCCACCAGACATGAGTTAAGGTGAGAAAGCAGCGATGTTCGAACATAACTAGTCTCTTTATGTCTGTCCAACTGAGGGGCCAGAATTTGCAACCATACAGTAGAGGTGAACGGACTACTAACTTACAGAGTAAATGCACTAAAAGATTTCAACACGTTGAAAACTTGATATCGCAGTTGTTGCCATGAATGGAAATTTTCTCAAATGTCGCAAAATGAGCAGTTCCCACGAAAGGAGGTTTGTGGTACAAAAGAAAAGGAAAACATTGCAGCATGTGTGCTTACCAATGTGATTCAGTAACATGCTACCTAATGTAAATGAGCATACAGAATACAGGCCAGTGAGTATCACGACATAACAAATTGCTCGGGAATGGCACTTAGTCCGTTTAGCGGATTCAGTAAAGTATAAAGGTGGCAAACAGGCCAAACTAAGAGCAACGATGAGGCAGTATGCTGAGGCACTAAAGCTGATTCGGAAATATTATTATTATTATTACTATTATTATTATTACTCATGAGTAGGAGGAATTCGGTTGTAAGTTTAATGTACCCTTCTCGAAGGCTCAAAAGCTACATAGTGTAGCGCCCAAAAAGATAACTCTTATCTTTCGTGTACAATTTACTTGTTGACCGATTGTACATTACTCCTTCTTGTTTTAATCTTACAACCGGCTCGACACACAACTGCCTTGTAAGTCCCCGCGCTCACGTGTACGCTCTTGCCTCGCTTCATCCGTCCGCTTCTTGTTGTAGCCCATCGAATACAGTCCGCTGTGTCCGACTCCAATTGCCTTCTGAAATCAGCGCTTAATTCCGCGCATCGTCTCGGACTAGTATTAACTAGTCCTATAAATTGGTGACCCCGATTCGCACGCGCGAATTCAACATTTTTCTCGTTTGTATTTTTGGTGAGTTCGTTCCTTTTTCTCGATTATATACCTATATTCATTTGTTTCTTGCGTAATTTTAGTACCTTTATCGTATTTTGTTCGTTCTTTATCTTTCGACTCACATTTCGAGAGTTGCACCTGAGTCGTTTCTCAGCGTAACGATGCTTACTTTGGCTGTTCCAAGTTTCATGGAACACAGTCCAGAAGTTTGGTTTAAGATATTCGAGATCGAACTAGAAAATAAGGGCATAACGGCGGACCGTCCAAGGTACAATCAGCTCGTCCCACGCCTTCCTCCGTCGGTAGTGACGCTGATTGAGGACATTCTACTCTGCCCATCGAATGAGGCAAAGTATGAAACGATGAAGCAAGCGATTTTGAAAGAGTTACGACCCAGCGCACGAACACGATTTGAGCAGCTCAATGGTCTCAAGCTTGGAGATCGCAAGCCGTCGGCATTGCTCCGCGAACTTCAGCGCATCGCTGGATCCCTTATTCTTGAGCGAAGAAGGGATAAAGGAGCTGTGGTTTGCACGTCTCCCTAGAGCCATTGCCGGTAATGCTGTCCATGTTTATAGATGCACCGCTTGAAAGACTTAGCTACCAAGGCAGACGCTGCGTTCGAACGTTTTCCGCAGCGGACGACCATTAACTCCGGTGACGTATTCTCACCGATGAAAGCCGAATCCCATGTTTGTTCCCAGTCGCTAGACCGATCTGACTCTAAAGACGAGGAAATTGCGCTACTTCGCAGCAGGATAGCAGCAATGAAGGCTTCGAAGCAGCGGGTGCCACGGTCAAATGTTGACCATGTTTTGGCTACCGTTCATTGCTGCTCGTCTGTGCCTGCACCGAGTACATCATGTTCGGCACGAAAGCGCCACCTTTTCCTTACAAGTTCTCAGTCAGATAATGTCAAACCCGTCGAAGAAGTATGTTGGTATCACCGCCAATACGGTGGAAGAGCTAGACGTTGTCGGGCTCCCTGCATTAGGCACGACCCAGGGAAAACGAATAGCCCGCATACTAGCACTACAAACGTATCATTTAATAACCAAGTAAACCGACTGTTTTACGTTAAGGATCGACGTTCTTCCATCACCTTCCTCATCGACACAGGAGCGGAAGTCAGCGTCGTCCGAGCGACCGCTAGTTGGACAGCGGTGTGGTTTCCTCTACTTTCATTTGTCCTATTTTACCAAGGCCTTCACAAACTTATTCATGTCATACTTTGTTTTACAATTGTAGAAGCCTAAAGTGAGTTAACGCAAAGAATATTCTTTGCACATTGCTGATTTCGCCTAATCGTATTTTTATCTACTCCGATCGCGTCTGAGGCGAACGGGATCTACCCTAAGAGAGCTGTGATTCTGCGGAGACATCGCTTTTTCAAAACGCTTCCGCAGTAAAAGTTATATAGTACAGTCCGTGGAGGACAACAACATCTGGAATAATGCAGAATGGTAACACCCACAGAAATGTGTGCGCATACTGCGTATGCAACGCGTTCACTCTTTCTGTCTCATTCCTTGCTGAACCTTTAGACGTCTGGATGGAAATCCACGTCTTACCTTACAAAGGCCATTGACGTGCTTGTACAGCCATTTGTGCTTAGTGCTGGGGGTTTTTACCATGTTCTCTGGATGTGCGGATTTGGCTTCCCCAAGCGATGGTCACAGTGGACTGACCAACCTGGCGTTAGATATACGCTATACGTTCACTATGCTGCGTTACACCCTACCATACAGTTTTGAGTTCTGCCCCTTAAGAACGGAACTGTTTAGGCCAATTTCAAACCCTTGTCTCAGGTACAACATTCCTAAACAATACCTTTTGGTGCACGTACCCAATATTCGGCGTCTCAAACAAAAAGGATTGCTCCTCACATGCATCTAAAGTCTATGTCAACAAAAAGTGATCAAATAACAGCAAAAATTTCGTCATCCAAAACATTCCAGACAAGATCCTATGTCCCTAACTCATCCTGGTTAGAACACAACAGCAATCCCTTGGTTGCCCTGGTGCCCAAGAAAGCTGGAGAAATCATCCAGGACTCCGCCGAATTATTCAGACATGACTTTAATTTTGGACCTATGTTGAATGGCACTGGATTCCAGAGATGAGTTACAAAGTTTTCCACATTGTGGATAAGCTTGTTTCATTGAATGTTTCTGTTTACCTTTCGCGATGCACGCGGGGAATGGCGCTCCCAGTCCCGGACACTTCACTATCTTCTGCGTACATATTGACAGCGGCATTGTCACATGTGTTGCCAACCTATTTCTTTCATACTTGCTGCACTATCCATCAAGTCTTTGAATCGTGTTCTGCCGCTCCCCGTTCAGCTCTAATAAATGTGTGTATCACTGGTGCTGTCCCAATCCCTGTTTATGGGGAAGCGTTATACACAAAATATTTATACTATATCTAAGATATCTCTGCGGTGTAACAACCTGCGGCTTACCCAACATTCTGAACTGTCTGTGCATCACAGTCAACAATCTCGCTCACTTACAGTGTATCAGCGTTCGAATACCTGGCAAATGTTTCCCTTAGGTTAATTTGTGGCTTCAAGTCCTTCACGAAATTCGATGTTGTCTGTAGAGTGGTAGTGACCGACAATCATCGCACGACGGGTGTCAGTCCAAATTGGAATATCCGGGTTCTTAGTTTGGAGATAGGCAAGTCTATCTTCCCCAGGTGGTCGTCACGCGGAGGTGTTCAGGACTGTGAACAGACTGTTGTGCCTATTCCGACCGACAGTTTTGCTTCTAAACCTGAACATCAGTGGAAGTGGGGGCACATTTCCTTCCCACCAGGGCTGTGGCAGTGCAGTGGCTCTTGATAATCGTCATTCATCAAACATTTATCCCTCTGTTTACTGCATATCCTGTGCACACAACCAAAGTCGCGGTATTTCGGTAGAAAGGCGCCCCGGTATTTTAAGAAAATCATAATTCCTCTTGCCACAGGCACATCGCGACAAATGCAGCTGCCAGGATAGGTGAACTGACCAATTACTTTCAATTCCTAGTTAGGTATGGGCAAAAAATCATCAAGTGATTGATGGTCCTGTAACAACACTTTGCACTCTAAAAGTACGAACTGCAAATCAAAATGGTGGGACTACGATTAATCCAACGTTAATCCTGCTACCTCACGACTATCAAACATGCAGATGGTAGCATCCGCATAGTTCAGATCAATCGAAATCCCACTAAAAAGCATGTCAACGCCGGCATTACGAGATGCTGCACGGAAAACTCAATAATGGAATCTGCGATAAGGCTAAACAAAATGTGGAAGCTAATACAACTCTGATTTAGCGACTACAAATCGTAAACAGGTCTAGAAATTCAATGTAACCTCCTACACAACCTGGGATTTACAAACACTGGTTATGAAGAATGGTCCAATGTTTCCTGGTGAACCTTCTCTGAACCTAGACGTAAAATTGATGGAACGGCCTACTCAGACGAACACACAAGAAAACTCAAGGACC